ATAATGGTCGGGAACATATAATTGGGAAAATTAGACAATCGATCGTCATTTTTGAATCGCCCGTCAGATGGTTTCGGTCTATTAACGTAGTCTTTTTCAAGTATGGAAACACCCGAACACCCAGAGCAGAAAAGCGTCATACCTCAGCTTGTGGGTCGTGCATATGTCTGCGGTACTGACTGAAACTCCTGAAAAAATATAGAGCACTGAGTGAAACGGCCCTGAAGGCAACGAAGAAATGAACACACCTAACGAGTCGTCTTCGCTGAACATCGAACGATAACCACTGGAGATACCACGGAATATCGTGCTTCACTCGAACATCACGCTCCAGAAACACGAACATCGACGTGGTGACCGTTGAAAGACCGATAATGGCCAGTAGAATGAAGTAGTACAAACCTAAAAAGGGAGGTTTGAAGGAGCGTTCCAAAATATCTAGCACATCTGCTTTGGGTGAGATTACACCGATGGAAGTTGCAGCACATCAAGGAGCCAGCGTCTGCACCAAAGTCAACCGTTCCTGCCCGAGCCAGGCCGACGTCCAAGTCGTATTTGTAGAATTTGAGAGGGGTCGTAGTAGTGGGGAAGGGGCATCGCCTTGACGGGTTTCGACGATATGGAGAAAAATATCAAATAAGAAGCGTGGTAGACAAAAATAGAGCATTCCCCGTTTGCTCGGATACGTTTACCCGTTCCTATCTCCGAATACTTGGAAGAGGGCTGGGCTGAGGATTGGCGTTTATCGCCAACTTCAGAATCAAATATTTGGGGAGTATTTGATTCTTTGAACGTGAAATTTATTCGAAAGTGGGAGACTCTCTCTATGCTTCTCAATAGTAATGGGGGTTGCACCAACACCCCCCTCAAGAGGGAGGGGCCGTAAAACCTTCGAAATCGGCCTGATGCCAGGGTTGATCCTGGTCTGTGCTGAGCCTTAAAGCCTTTGTTAGCCTCGTTTTTATTTGACGGCTACCGTCCTTTCACTTGGTTTGTATCTGCTTATCGAGACGAAAGAAAAAGATATTGCTAATTGCTGGAGCCTCAACTTATTTTTGTGGATCACGTAGGCATGCAGATGCGACCACGATCATGAATTCTCGCATTTGAATACAAATGCAAAACATTCGCAGCGAGCAGGATTCGAACCTGCGCGGGCAGAGCCCAATTGATTTCGAGTCAATCTCCTTAACCACTCGGACATCGCTGCATATCGTTCGCACCTGGCAGGCAATGAATGCCATCCAACGGTTCTTTTTGGTCTAGAACGGGCACTTTTCCGGTTCAACCATAAGCACATCCGGAAACGACCTTCACCAACATGAAATCTCCATAGAATGCAAAACTTTCGCAGCGAGCAGGATTCGAACCTGCGCGGGCAGAGCCCAATTGATTTCGAGTCAATCTCCTTAACCACTCGGACATCGCTGCA